ACTTGATGGGTTTCATATCACTCTGGTGTCCCCGAGCGCACGGGCAAAACCATTGTCTTCAGGGCCTTTAGAAAGAGTGTCAAAGCTGAGGCCAATCTTAATTGATGTTCCACAGGGAAGGAGCATCTGAGCACATTCAACTGCGCGAAAGGTGGCACAGTTTGACTGGCTTCACAAAAAATCTCGGTGTTCCAGAGAGAATTTCGTATGCCCAAACAAAGCCCTAGTACTGTTTCACTTGATGTCTTGATTCATACAACATCAACTGAGCAGTTCAGCAAGGAGAATTAGAAACTTTGCAATGGCCCTTGGGGAGAATCTGTGAGGTTTCTCCAAAGAGAGCCAACGGAAAAGAGCACTTGGCACGATAATGGTTCGGAAGATGGAGTCAATGAGATGTTGCATGCTAGAAGCCATGCAGGCTCAAGTGACACATCTGGACTTTGGGGAGCACGCGAAGGTACTCTTTCAAAATGGCTAACTTGGTGGATCATATAGCAAAAAAACTCCAAATTCTGGACTGCAGTCAACCTCCATTTTAGTTTCCGAAATGCGGGGATTCTGCCTTGGCAGTTTAAGTGATGCTTGAGGCCCGCAGCTGGCTTCAGTGATTTGTTCCTTTATTTTAAAGTAAAAGAATCTCAATTAAAATAGGCAAAAATCAGGAAATTGGATCATTATCAAGGAAAGTGTTGATGGGTAGATTGTCCTCCCCTCCAGGTGTCACCACTGCAAGTGTATGCAAAAAAACAGGGTTTTGATTCTGCTGCTATGACCAACTTCCTGAGGTTTTTTTTTTCCTCCTGTTCTGCCAGTGATACTGAATGCCACATTGGGGAAGGTCTGCTGTGCCAGAACTTGTTGTCTTTCAGATCAGGGATCTCCAACCCTGGCAACTTTAAGACTTGTGGACTTCAACTTCCAGAATTCCTCAGCCAGCTGGCTGAGGAATTCTGGAAGTTGAAGTCCACAAGTCTTAAAGTTGCCAAGGTTGGTGACCCCTGTTTCAGATAATATCCTCCTTATCTCATGGTGCTTAACTGGAATCAGTTCCCTAATCAATTGGTAGGGCAGGGAATTGTCACCACTAGATCGATGACATCTTTTCACTGATGATTGACAAGAACTGAAGCCAGGAGAGCTTTTCATGCAAAGCGCCTATATTTCATATAACTGCTAGTTTCCTTCCAAGAGCCAGTTTGATCTAGTAGTGATTAAGGCACCAGGCTAAAAAAAAACCAGGAGACTGAGTTCAAATCTCGCCCTTAGCCATGAAAGCCAGCTGGGTTACTCTGGGCCAGTCATTCTCTCTCAACCCAAGAGAGGGTTGTTGTGGGGGAAAAGAGGAAGAGGAAAGTATATATTTAACGCCACTTTGAGTTACTTGTAAAAATAATAAAGGCAGAATACAAACAAACAAGCATTCTGGATAGATCTTTTCTTATAATCTCCCTGAATTATTTTTTAGCCCATTTGCTGGATTTCCCCAAACAAGTGTCCTACTCAGCTAGTTTAGCTATGCTGAGTTGGGATTAGGAGATTAGAAGTTGGATTGCAACACTGCCCATTGGAGATGCTTTTCCAAGCCTCTTGGTATCCTAAGAGCCAGGATGTGGACCTTTGCATAAGAAACACATCTTCAACACGATCTGTCCCATTTTTATTCCTGCAAAGCTGAGTGTCCTTTGCTTTGAGGTGCCCAACATTGCAGTGTCTTCCTCATGTAACGGGTGTTTCTGACTGGTCTGGTTTTTTTTTTGGTTTTTTAATCAATGAGAAACTGTTTTAAATATTCTAGTCGGGCTGGGCAGCTCTTGGTTGCTGTAAACAGGATGTGCCTTAAGGGGGAAAACTTAAACTCCAACAAGCCCCAATAAGCATTTTAAGAAAAATTTTATGGGGAAGCGGTTTGCGTGTGTGGGCAGCAGCAATTTGTACACCCACAGCTCAAAAGAGGTCAGGAGTAGATGACCCAGTGATTCATTTCCCCAGTTTAACAAGTGATGTAAATCTATGTGACCCACTTAGGCATCTGCTGTATAAATCTCTTTTCAAACATTCCCAAAACACTTCAGAAGAGTGTTAGTCAGGGGTACAGCTTTTGTAACAAAGGGCCTTCATCTAAGGCCCCTGGAAAAGCACAGCCAGAAGCTACAGAGCCCCTTAAAAAGTCATTAATTGGGACTTGATGAAGGCAGGAGGTCGTGCTGAAAGCTGTTGTGTAGACTGAAATTTTAATGTAATTAAATGTCTTTTAAATGAAATCAGTTTTCAGATTCACCTTGTTTCCAAACCAATGTTATCAACCTCAAGAAGTCAAATAACTATTGTGGTCTTTATTCCCCTACCCCACCCAGCCTCCCCTTTGCTTCTTCCTTCTATTTATTTATTTTAAATCTAAAGGTGTATGTCCCGCTAAACGTTGGGTTTACAACTTGGAATTCCACATTCCAGACCATTGCTGAGAATTTTGGAAATTGAAGTCCATAGGGACTTACAGCCGTTCGTTTAGTGCAGAGGTCTTCAAACTTGGCAACTTTAAGACGTGAACTTTAAGCTATGCTATGCTGGCTGAGGAATTCTGGGAATTGAAGTCCACAAGTCTTAAAGTTGCCAAGTTTGAGGGCCCCTGGTTTAGTGACTGCTTGAATTTACAATGGCACTGAAAAAGTGACTTATGACTGTTTTTCACACTTACAAGTTACAACTGCTATAGCAAGCCCATAGTTACATGATCAAAATTCAGACACTTGGCAACAGGCGTGTATTTATGACAGTTGCAGCATCCCAGGATTATGTGATCCCCTTTTGCGCCCTTCTGACAAACAAAGTCAATGGGGAAGCCAGATTCACTTAAGAACCGTGTTACTAACTTAACAACTGCACCGACTCATTTAACAGCTGTGATAAGAATGGTGATAAAATAGGGCAAAACTGAACTGTCTCGCTTAGCAACAGAAACAGTGGGTTCAACTGTGATCGTAAGTCAGAATGTTGCCTGAATATCTCAAGGGAACCCGTGTTGGAGAAGGTCAATTTATAACCTCATCCTCCCTCAAGCCAAGATGGTGGCATCTATTTTTACAAATAATGTAAGCTGGTCAGAGTTGCTTCAGTAAGAATTGCAAGGTGGAATATGCGTGTCTATGTGTATATTACACCCGCAGAAGAATAGTGCCCTGTTGTGCCAAATTCCCATCCGTTACACGTTCTTAAAAACATATATTTTATGTGGATTAGTTTTTATCTTGGCCTGCCCTCTTTGGCCTGATTTCAACAATGCTGTGACAACCGTTCTTTAGGTTAAAAATACTTGAAGGTGGGGAAATGGGTCTTAATAATATGCTTCCTTCAGATCAAAGCCCATCACTGCACCTGCAATGCTGTGTAATTGTGGCCGACAGCTTGGAATTCACACACTCATGCTTCCAACCCCTCTTGGAAGCGCTGAGGAACATTCCTATTTTGGGAAGTTGAAAAAAAAACATTCTGAAAGGCAGTGCTAACCACTTGCATGCTGTTACCATGAAAACTGTAAACGATGGTATCTATTTCTGTCTGCTCAGGATACATCCCACTGAATTTAGAATATGGCAAAATATGTGTAACTACAGCCTTAAATCTGTAGAAAATCTGTAAGGATGTGAGTGTTAGTGTGTATCTTTCTCCTTCCACTTGTGCTAGCCTTGCAAAATATCTTTCCTCTCTGTTTGTATTCTCAAGTTAGCCCCCAAAGTGCATTACATTCAACAATTTTTGAACCAAGGTATCTAAGTTCTGCCAACTTAAAGAATGTGTAAAATATCCAGGACCCGTTACAGGGTTTGTTTACTTGTCTGTTCAAAGTTATGATGGCACTGAGAAAAGTGACTTATGACCATTTCTACACTTATGACCAGTGCAGCATCTCATGGTCACGTGATCAAAATTTGGTGGCACCAAGAAGTGACATCTCCCACAAGTGCAGCTCCTGTTGTGTTCCCTTCGTTTTCTATAGACAGGAGAACTTTATCATTTCCAGTGTCTGTGTGTTGATGGTGTTTTTACTTCCCCGTCTACATTTTGGAGGCTTCCTGGTGGCCTCATTAGGACTGGTTGACAGTTTGAGGTCATGCCACAGTATTATTGCAGTCATAACTGCACTAGTGAGTTGAACTTTCAACTTTAAGAGATTGAGTCTCCTTCAGGGTTGATTAGGGAATTCTGGGAGTTGAAGTCCACACATCTTAATGTTGCAAATGTTGGGCTATATTAGTTTAGACTGTTCAAAAAGCATGCTGGACTTTTTCTGGCTGAGCCTAATGCAGGGTGACTAGAAGGGCCTTCTCCTTTCTAGGCAATTAAATATCTTGTGCTCTCTTATCCAAAAGGGGGTTGGGTTACCTTCTTGCTACTCTTGAAGTAATGGCTAACTTTGGAAGGCTGAAAGATTAAGCCAAAACTGACTTCTGTCCTTTCTTCCATTACTTTTTCTATTACCTGATGCTTTTGGGGCATAATTTCTACAACCACGAATGCTCAAAATGATTGCTCCTGTTTCATGTTGGAGTGTTTCCCAATTTGCTAACTTCCTAGCATGCTGGTGAGGGATTCTGAGAGTTGAAAGTCTACATATCTTAAGATGGGCAAATTTGGTATGGGTAGACGATAGGATAGATGATAAATAGATACAGATGTGTGTGAGAGAGAGATACTTGTAGATAGATGATAGAGACAGACAGACAGAGATAGAGATAGACATAGAGATAGATATATTAAAGATAGAGATCGACAGATGAGAGATATAGAGATATATAGATGTAGATAGATAGAATAGACAGACAGAGACAACTAGATGATTGAAATAGGAGACAGATGTAGATAGACAGATGTAGACAGACATAGACATACTAAAGACTTAGACGGAAAAAAGAGATAGATAGATAGATAGATAGATGATAGATAGATAGATAGATAGATAGATAGATAGATAGATAGATAGATGATAGACAGAGAAAGACAGCTAGATGATAGAAATAGGAGACAGACAGATGTAGATAAACAGACCCTTCCTTCCATCTGCTTTACCCAATTCATGCAAAACCAGAAAACCTTACCTCTTCCCCTCAGATGTGATGCAACCCCACTCATTCTGCATCGCCCTCCCTAGACTCATAGTTCCCAGCTGCCAAGATTGCCAACTTTTGCCTTGCTGACCAAAGCAGGCAGGGAGATCTGAACCTTTGGATTCTCTACACCTAGCGGGCAGCAGACTGGCCCTCCATCCTGTGACGAGGGGCTGGGCAGCTAGGTTCGGTAGGCCCTCAAGATGAATTTTGCTCACAGATTCAAGAGGTAAACTAAACAGTAAAAGGTAAAATACACACAGTGAAGAGAAAGCAAATGAAAGCAAACCTCTTTCATCTTTTCTAATGGTCTTTATTCTGTTGAATTCCAAGCTGCTTTTCCTTCATTTTCTTTTTATTTTTTACAAAAAATAAATATAACCCCCACCCCCCCACAATTCTTAAATACATCACATAGTAGTGCACAGTTGAGAGGCACGGTGGCCTAGTGGTGAAGACGTTTGCCTCCCACTCGGAAGGTTGAGAGTTCAATCCTAGGGAGGGACAGATGTTTCTCTCTCAGGGCACAAAGAGAAAATATCTGCTGCAAACTCCAACATAGGCACCTGGCCAGTAAATGATCAGCTCCATCCAGCTGCTCCGATTCTACCCCGAATTAAGAGATTACCGGGTCGTAGAAAAAAAAAGAAAAATAGTGCACAGTTGATCAAGTAGTCCACAGTTGTTCCTCCTTCATGACATGAGCATTGGCAGGAAATGGGTGGAGGGATGTTGCCAGCGGGTCTTCGTCCCTCGTCGTGGCAGTCCTTTCCTGTTGAGGGAGAGGAACATGGGTCGCCCTTCGTGGTGCCAATGGAAAGAGGCATAGGTATTGTAACCGTTCTCTTCAATACGTTCCTTGAACTTGCAGTTGGGGCTGTATGCTTTCTACGACAGACCGGTAGCGGGGGGGGGGGGGGGGGAGGGGGGGGAGAGAATGAGAAATTTGATTGAATGTGAAGGAAAGGCAGAACTGAAAATCTGGCTTACTAGATTTCTCTTGCCTTTGGGCTCAAGGCAGCTTCTGTGGGGATTGCCTCCATTTTATCCTGATCAGGGGGTTGGACTAGAAGACCTCCAAGATCCCTTCCAACTCCATTATTCTGCTATTTCAATCTCTCCCACAGTTACTTTGCAAAATAGGTCTAACAGAAAGAAAGTGATTTCCTTAGCTGTTGTCCCACTTTGTCTGTCTGTGTCTCTTTGTCCGTCCATCTCTATCATTTGTCTGTCTGTCCATCTATAATTGGATTACCCAATTATGTAACCCATCTAGCAATAGCACTTAGACTTATATGCCATTTCACAGTGCTTTACAACCCTCTCCAAGTGGTTTTACAGAGTCAGCATATTGCCCCCAACAATCTGGGTCCTCATTTTACCGACCTCATAAGGATAGAAGGTTGAGACAACCTTGAGCCGGTGAGACTCAAACTGCTAGCAGCCAGCAGTCAGCAGAAGTAGTACTGCATTCTAATCACTACGCCACCACGGTGCTATATCTGTCTGTCTGTCTATCTATCTATTTCTATCAATCATCTATATATCTCTCTATCCTTTAGCAATCAATCGATCGATCAATCTCATATATCTAAATCTCTAGGGCTTTCATTCCTCTAGCATGCTGGCTGGGGAATTCTGGGAATTGAAGTTCACACATGGTTGAGAAACATTGGACCCATCAGCCAGTTACTTTTTTTTTTCTTTAGCTTAAGAGGAGACTCAACCCAAGTCTTCCCATTCCTAGTTCAGAACTTTCACGATTGGACATCCCTGGCTCTTGGGCTGAGAGGATCGCTATTTGTGACTTTTCCAGCTGGCTTCAAACAAGCAAAAACAATGGGTCAAAGCTGAATTCACTTAATGGTATGATTCATTTAACAAATGCAGTGGCTCTGTTAACAACCGTGGCAAAAAGTTGGTAAAATCAGGCTTGGCTCACTTAAAAAACCACCTGGTCCCAATTGTGATTCTAAGTCAAGGACTACCTATAATTCCCCCTTTCCCCAAAAGGCATGCAATTCCATTTACCGTTCCATAAACTTTCCCTTTTCGGTTCATTGCCAAGTAGAAGCCACTGTGGATGGATCGAATGGCCACGGTCCCCACCTGTACAGAACGGATCTCCACGATGCCTGGGGGGGGGGGAATAGGAAAGAGCCTATTAACACAAATCAAGGACTTCCCAAAGCTATTGGCAGCAAAGCCTGTGCCTAAAACAACCAGCGGCTGCTCCTAATACGCAAATCTCTATGCATGTTTGCTTGTGCACATCCTAGCGCGGGGATGTCAAACCCGTGATATCACGTGACGTATTGCAACTTTTCCCCCCTTCGCTAAACCGGGGGTGGGCGTGGCCAGCATGTGACGCATCTGGCCCATGGGCTGCAAGTTTGACACTCCTGTCCTAGTGTATTGAAGGAGCTGAAGTTACATCACTCACCTTCCCTAGCTTTTGTTCCATTTTAATTTTAATGAAGCAATTTTACACCTGGAGAATATAAGTGACTAAGGGATCAAGGGATAGAATAGAATTAGAATTAGAATTAGAATTAGAATTAGAATAGAATAGAATAGAATAGAATAGAATAGAATAGAATAGAATAGAATAACAGTTGGAAGGGACCTTGGAGGTCTTCTAGTCTAACCCCTTGCTTAGGCAGGAAACCTTATACCATTTCAGACAAATGGTTATCCAGTCTCCTCTTTAAAACTTCCAGTGTTGGAGCATTTACAATTTCAGGAGGCAAGTTGTTCCACTGATTAATTGTTCTAACTGTCAGGAAATTTCTCCTTAGTTCTAGGTTGCTTCTCTCCTTGATTCGTTTCCACCCTTTGCTTCTTGTCCTGCCCTCAGGTGCTTTGGAGAATAGCTTGACTCCCTCTTCTTTGTCAGTTATTGGAACACTGCTATCATATCACCCCTAGTCCTTTTCATTAAAAGATCAACTCACAAAAGCAAGAAGATAAAATTTTAGAAATATACTGTTTTACTCATGATATACCCCTTTCTGCTTTGAATTATTCACTTTATCCTTGCCTCATCCCCATTGTGGCATATTTTTCAAGGCTTAAATCAGGCCCTTGATTCAAAAGACATTCCAATAGAAGAGAATATATGTAGCGCCAGGTTGAACCATGGAGTTCTTGGTGCTCT